ATTTATTTTATTATTATATTGAGTTGTAGACAAAGGTCTGAGTGACAAAGCGAGACCCTGTCTCAAAAAAGAAAGAAAAAGGTAGTAGATGGTATGTGTTTAAGCAGCCATTCACAAACTTCAACATGTATCAAAAGCATTGGAGGAGCCTGCTAATGTACAGATTGCTAGGCCCTACCCCCTGAGTTTCTGATTCACAAAGTCTGAGGTAGAGCCACAGAACTGCATTTTGATATGTTTCCATGTAATGCTAATGTTGCTGGTCTTAAAACTTCATTTTGTAATCTACTGTGTCTGAAGAAAAGGTTAAGGCAAATATAAACTAAGAAGATGACTGTGATTTAGAAAACAGCATTAAGACAAGAGAGATAAAATCCTTGCTCTTATAGAACCTATCTCCTAATCATAGGAGGTAATAGACATTTAAACCAATAAAACATAATTTTTGATAATTGAAAATTAGTAAGTACTTATGGACATAAAAAGAGTGTGTATAGAGGGTAACTGAGATGGACAGAGACAACAGATAGTGTGGAAAAGGAATCATTTTTCTGGAGTGTGATGAGAGCTGAGATGTTAAGAATAAGAAGGTGTTAAACTTCTGAAGTTCCCAAGAAAGAATGGTCCGAGAAAACAGCAAGTCAAAGACACTGAGATGAGAAGAATCTTAAATGTACTCAAAGAAGGAACATACCGACAGTAAGCCAGAGAAAGCAAGTTTAAAAAAACAATGAGGTTTCAGTGGCAGGTGGAAAGAATACCATGTAGGCTTTTGTAGACCAAGAGCATTTGGGAAAAATGCATTTTATTCCATAGGCAATGAGAAGCCTTTTGAGGGTTTGAACTGTCAGAATAACATATTCTACTTGAACTATTAGGAAGATCATTTAAGCTGTTATTTGGAGAATGATTGTCAGGGGGAGGAAGAAGGAATGGCAAGAAAGGAGATAGGGAGAAAAGTTAGAAGAACATTACGGGATTCTAGGCAAGGCATGGTCATAAATTTACCTAGAGTGGCAATAATGAATATGTAGAAAAGTGGAGCTACTAGGACTGGTATTCTTAAAGTTGGCTGAGAATCAGCTTCCCAGGTTCCATCAGGGACCTAATGAACCATGTACTCTACATTGTGTCCCCAAGTGATTCTAATGGGCAGCCAGATTTGGAGCACATTGTCCTCTGTAGGTTACTGTAGTAGACAGACTATGTGAAATCACCACAGGTTTCTAAGTAGGAACTTCATGATGTAAGCAGAATTTGAAGATCATTAATTTGGTGGTATATAAGAGAAATTGAAGACAAATGTCCTGCAGTGAGAAGAGTAGTCAATAGGATGTCACAATAATTAAGGCATGAGTTTGGACTGCCCGGAAATACAGCAGCCAATAGCTACATGTGAGTATTTAATTTTAAATTTATTAAAACAAAATTAGGGATTCAGTTTCATAGTCACACTCACCATATTCTAAGTGCTCAGTAGCCATATGTGGCTATTGTACACTGCATTGGACAGTGCAGATATAAAACATTTTCTTCATCACAGAACGTGTTTAGACAGCAATGACCTAGACTATGGATTTAATGGGGGATGGAATCTGAGGGGCATATCTGAATTGGCAGAAGGGTTAAAGGAAGATTAACAGGGCACAGCGATAAGTGAAGCAGCACTACTCTATAAGCATGGGGATTTTATTTGAGAAATTTTTAAAATCTGTATAAATATACACTCAAGTCAAGGGTACTGTAAAATCAGCACTTGCTGTGTTACACAATTCACCACAATATTTTTTTGATATAGGAAAATACCATAACTGATAAGATAAATATTATGATAGCAAGTTTTTTTCCCCCTCCTCTCCTTTCCTGTGGGTAATTACCAATGTCTGTAATTGACAACAGTTGATCAAATCAAAATATGAAAACTAATAATGAGCCAGATTCTCCCACCACATTCCACCCGTTGAAGTCAGTGAAAGTTCTGTGCACACAAGGAGACACATGGCGAGCTAATCTGGCCCAGTATTTACACGGCACTTTCAATTTGACGATCTTAAAATGTTGAACAAATATTCACTTTTATAGGCCATCCTAGGAGATAGAATCATCATTTATACATCTAACTAAATTGGGTCTAAAAGTTTGAGCTAAAGACTTCATGCCACCTAAAATAGTAGTATTTTAAAAGTGTGTTTCCTTCTTTCCATACATGCATGTGTCAGAATTCACAAGATCTGAACCTTCTGTTCTAAATTAAATTAGAGTATTCTTCATGGCTTCACTGAGCTTAGCCTTTCAATTACCATCTTCTTCCTAGCTACCCATCGAATCTCAGATAAGAAAGTTAATACCTCTTACTTATGTTAACCCAAATTAAACAAATTCACTCACCTAGACACATATTCATGTACCATGCATCAGAGCTGCATAATTTATTCATGATTTTAAATTTATTAAAATTTTTAGATGAACAGTGTACAAAATGTGTTAATTGAATCTCATTCTCAATTAACCGCAAGTGGATTATTCAATTGATAGGTCACTCAGACCTCCTGGGCCTCTTCTGTATCCCTCAACTGCTAATTTGCAGATGGCTCTCCCCATCACTCTGCAGCTGGCTCTTGTGTCATTAAAAGCAAAGCAGGCTGGGGAGGGAGGAAGGGGGAGAGCTGTTTGGCCTCAGTCACTTGGTTAATTAGAGTAAGAGATAATGCTGCCAATTTGTCCACTAATTCAACAAATATATATGCAAGTCCTGATATACACAAGGGGAACCTCAAGATACATTTGTAGACAGAGTCTCTCTACTCTAGAGAAATAGAAAAAGGAAAAGATGAGATTTTTTCCAGTTATCACAGGTGGTACACAAATCTAATTCTGCACATGGATACTGGAAAGGCTTTTCCAGCTCTTCTTTTCACCATTGTTTCCTCCATATCTTGGTGATTTTCACATCCCCAGGTTCCTAGTAAGGGCCATGTTTGAGGCAACCTCTCAGGTACTGAAGCATGTGAACTACAGCAGACTGGAGGTTGTATTAGGTCCTGAGGGTTTGTGGGAATATCAAAGATGTAAGTGTCTCTGGCCCCTAAATGATTTGTTAAATCCCTGGAAAGAACCTAAGAAAACAGGACTAATAATGCATTGTGTGCTTCTGTTAATGCTAAAATTCAGTTTTCATTATAGAATGGTTCTGAAGGTATCTTCTATGAGAGATAGAAACATAGGTGACAAGAATATTGTCCTTGAGGTTAAGGAGACTCAGGTCTAGTCTGAGATTTGCTTCAAATTACCTCAGCTCACTGACTTCAGTTTGCTCTTCTGTAAAATGAGGATAATTAGAGGGTCCACACCACAGAGTTGATGTGGAGGTTAGATACTTTGAACCATGTCAAATGCTTAGAATAGCACCTAGGCCTGGGCCATTCCTTGATATATGTTAGCCATGAGTACTTATTGTTATCATTACTATTAACTAGCCATGGGCCAATCATCTAATCAAAATGGACCTCAGATTCTTCCATATTATGAGGGACTGGGTTATGTTACACTGAATTTTAAGTTTTCTTAAAAACTACCCAGAGGCAACCTTGGAGGAGAAGAGGAACACGAAAAAGTAGAATGATGGCTGAGGTACCAACACCTCAACATTATTATTATTATTATTATTATTATTATTATTATTATTTTGAGACGGAGTCTCACTCTGTCGCCCAGGCTGGAGTGCAGTGGCACAGTCTTGGCTCACTGCAAGCTCCGCTTCCTGGGTTCACACCATTTGCCTGCCTCAGCCTTCCAAGTGGCTGGGACTACAGGTGCCTGCCACCATGCCTGGCTAATTTTTTGTAATTTTAGTAGAGATAGGGTTTTACCATGTTAGCCAGGATGGTCTCCATCTCCTGACCTCATGATCCGCCTGCCTCGGCCTCCCAAAGTGCAGGGATTACAGCTGTGAGCCACCGTGCCCAGCCCACCAGCACCTCAACTATATTCAACTTAAACTGTAGTAGCCCTTCCTTTATATATTTTACATGTTTGAAACCAATTTTATTTCATTTAAATATTTGGGAGGAATAATTATGCTGATTTTAAAAAAGTTTGAAAAACACTGAGCCAGATATTCCCAAGGTCTTTTTGAGTTCTGATGCATGTATTACTTCACTTTTACAGACACAAGATGTTAGTAACATAAAAATACGCTTTATATAACTAAAAGGACCAATCATGCCTTTTCCTCCCAAAATGCAGGCACAAGATGTCTTTATCTCTTCATCTAATTAAACTTTTTTAACAGCAAGTTCAAAGGCTTTATTTGGCCCATTACCTTTTTGCTATTTTTTTCTAAAGACTTGGATATTAAGATATATTTGCTTTATCAAAGGTCTAATTTTTTATTCCCAATCTGAGATATTATAATATGAAATTACAGGCGAACTGGGGATAAAGAATAAACACAGGATTAAGAAAAGTAATGAAGATTGTTTAATATGAAAATGGGAAAAAATAATTCCACTATGGAAAAAGAGCCTTGTAAATAAGGGAGGAGTTCAGGAAAATATTTCTTCCTTTTTATAGATTTAAATTGCACTGTCTTAGAGAATTAGTGTATGTCTTGGAAAGGCATACCTCTATGTCCATGTCAATATTTACCTTCAGGATAATGAGGAAAATAAAAAGGCAAGTTTATAACTCATGACCTGACTTGAATGAATAGTTCAGACTTTACTAAATGTACCACCAGGAAAGGAGGGAAGGAGATGTGACTCCTAGGGACTTTGTGGGAACAGTTTAGGACTTCCAGAAGATAAAACTGCAAATGTATGGATTTAAAAGGCTCTCATGTCTTTGACCCTTCTTTCATCTAGTGATGGGGTCTAAGCAAAGACTTGCCTCTGGAATGCCTCTATGATTTACATAACCAGTAGGTTATGGCAGAAGTGATAGCACACATATTTCTGAGTCCAGATCTTAACAGCTAGCAGCTTTTTCTTCCTGCCTCCTAGAACACCAGCTCTGGAGAAAGAAGCTGACTTCCCTGAGACTGCCATGCTATGAAGAAAGCCAAGGGAAGCCATGTGGACAGGTCCTGGAAAATGAGATGCATGTGGAGAGAGAAAGAAGATAAAGATTACAGATACTGAGTGAAGAACCCAGCTTGAAGGTGAGGTCTCCATCCTCAGCTGATGCTGCATGGATCAGAGACAAACCTCCCAGTTGAGTCCTTCCTAAATTCCTGACCTGCAAAATTGTGAAGAAAGTAAATACTATTTTAAGTCGCTATGCTTCGGGGTAGTTTGATACACAGTAATAGATATCTGAATAACACAGATTAGGAGGGAATTTCAGAAAGGTCTAAATGTGAAGAAAGAGGATCAAAGTTAGAAACTGAGTATAACCGGTGGAGATTTAATTTCTTCGTTTTCTTTCCTCTGAATTATGGGGTGAAGTTATACTGAACATACTTCTATCAATTTTGTTTTCTAAGTGGAAATTCCTCTGATTATCCCAACTTTTAGTAGTTGCCAATAAGCTAAGCACATGCAGCCTGGAGGGGAGCAGGTGGTACTGTAGAAAATAAAGGGAACAGGTCGATACAGAGAGGGGGACTTGGCCCCACACTTGCTCCTCTGATGAGGCCAATTCTTTTTTTTTTTTTTTAATTATTCTTTAAGTTCTAGGGTACATGTGCACAACATGCAGGTTACATATGTAAACATGTGCCATGTTGGTGTGCAGCACCCATTAACTCGTCATTTACATTAGTTATATCTCCTAATGCTATCCCTCCCCCTTCCCCCCACCCCACGACAGGCCCCGGTGTGTGATATTCCCCACCCTGTGTCCAAGTGTTCTCATTGTTCAGTTCCCACTTATGAGTGAGAACAGTGTGGGGATTGCTCAAGGATCTAGATCTAGAAATTCCATTTGACCCCACCATCCCATTAGTAGGTATATACCCAAAGGATTATAAATCATACTGCTATAAAGACACATGCACACATATGTTTATTGCGACACTATTCACAATAGCAAAGACTTGGAACCAATCCAAATGTCCATCAGTGATAGACTGGATTAAGAAAATGTGGCACATATACACCATGAATTACCATGCAGCCATAAAAAAGGACGAGTTCATGTCCTTTGTAGGACATGGATGAAGCTGGAAACCATCATTCTGAGCAAACTATCACAAGGACATAGGTCAATTCTTAAGACCCAGTTTTCCACAGAGGGAACTGTGCCCAGATGTTTTGGGTGATAAGCCTGCTGGTCCAACCCAGAGCTGGAGTAACATGCAGAAGCACCTGATGCTGAGGATGAACTCCCTCATTAACAAGTTAGCTGTGCATGTCCAGTAGACCTCTTCTTTCTCAAATATACTTCAGTGGGCCATAAGCGGAAGCAAACTGACATTTAGGTTATTTGAACTTTTTGTTTGTTTGTTTGCTTCTTTTTTCTGTTATGTACACATTTTAGTCCCTAAAAAGACCAAAGTTCTTTTACATGACTGTACTCATGCAATCAATCTTTGAATCACAAAGTGTAAGATATACCTTGCCTTTGGCCTTTCTGTGTGCTGCATGTGCTCCTCCAAGCAGCAGTGTGAGTCTCACAGTTAGCATGTGGTTTCCACTTCAGTGCTTCCATACTTTACCTTTAATTGCTATATCTCTTCTTATGCCAACTCTTCAACTAACTACTGTAATGGCCATCACTTCTTTTAAGATATCTTGGGCAAGGAATATGACTTTCCTACTAATTATTTCATTTAGTTACTCAATAAAAATGTATTGAGTTTTATTAAGCTCAGAATCCTGTCTAGGATGCTAGGGCTGCAAACATAAATGTCATACTTCTTGTTCTCAAATATCTTAGTCTTGTAGAGATTGTGAGAAAAGTATATGAATAATTAAAATAGAAGGCATAAAAGAGATTAAAAGGCAGGATATTAAAAAGAGAAAGAGATTCCTTCCAAATCTACTGAGTATCCCCTATGAAGCATATATTTTAAATATATTATCTCATTTATAATCTGCCTCCACCCTAAAAAGTAGGTAGCATATTTTTTTTATTTTACATAAAAACTTAGATTCAAAAATGTTGACCCACCCCCTTCCCACTCATAAAAAATAGTTAAGTCAATTAAGATCACAAGTAAATTAAAAACCTGTAACTATTCTGTCTTTGTCTGACATCAAAATCTCATACTCTTTCCATCAGCTGTCAAGCTTCCATAATGCTGTAATTTTAAAACCATAAACACTTTCTCAAAAACCATCTCATTTGACTTTCATAAGAACACTGTGAAGAAGGATGGCCTTCTCATTCTACTTTTCAGAAAGAAAAACAAACACTGGAGAGATAAAGGGACTTTTAAGTAATGACTAAAATTCAATCCCTATCCTGATTTAATGACTCCAACACGGTTTTTCTTTCCACTCCACCATGCTGTCTTTTCCAGATTGGGGTATTATCAAAATGTCATGGCAAATAATGCATTTAATTCTGGGCCTTGAGTAATGAACAAGATTTGGACAGGTGACTACTGGGGCATGAGAAGATATCAGAGTCAGAGAACTTGCAAGTGGAGGAAACTGAGTGGTTATCAACAACAATGTAGCTCAGTTGCTGTCCAAGATAAGTTGCTGCACTGAATCTACTGCAATCAGGCCCCAAAACACCATGGCAGGGGCAATATGACCAGATGGACTATTTTTTTTGTAACAATGTCTATCATACAAATATTCTCAGACAACATAACCTGAGAATTCATATGGAGTTATATTTTTTATAACCCCCAAGTTTACTGATTTCTTTTCCCACACATTGAGCTCCCTCCTTCAAAGTCTTCCCATCAAATATTCCTGTGAATACACAGGAGTTGTGCAACATATGCTCACAAACAATGAAATTTATGCTGAGCATTCATTCTCCTCTATTGGGTCTCACAGTCTCTGTGTATTGATAATTCCCCAATTCCAGACAGCTAAGTCTTTCTTTGCAAATCAATTTCAGTCCAGAGATCTCTTTACTTTCAGAATGAGTTTTCCGGAGAAGCTATTCAGAGGTCATCCAAATAGACTTTTAGTGAGCATTTCTGGCATTTTATTCAATAAATATACATCAACCATCAATTGTCAATAATGTATCAGGTAGTTATTCATCAAACTTAGCCATAAATGTTTATTATCATCTCAAATCAAGTATAGGACCATCCTTCTTACATTATGTTGTATTTCTTTTACTTTGTGGAAAAATTTGGGATAGTGGATATTCAATATTCCTGAAATATTTTCTATCATGTCCTCCAAATCATGTGTACTGATATAAGCCACTAACAGAAAACATTTAAAGTACAGCCAGTGGCATAGTATGTGGGATGAGTCAAAGTGGATGAAGTTCAGGTTTTGAGTCTGAAGACAGGGCTTTGTTTGAATCTAGGCACTGCTGTTTGGAAACTATGTAGCTTTAGACAATTTTTTTTTAACTATCTTGAATCTTGGCAACTACATTTAAAATGTGAATAACCATAATATTGCCTGTTGTGACTAACCAATAACATTATTATATTAAGAGTAATAGTGACTTTCTTAGGCCTGTACCCACTATGTGTCAGGCTCTTGTGAAGCCCTTTACATGCATTACTGATCATCCTCATTTGCACCCTGCAAGGGAGGTATTTTTAACTATGGAGGATTATTCTTTGCTCAAGAGCATACAACTGGTACATGGCAGAGACAATATTTAAGCCAGATTTGTTTGACATTAAAGCCATGTTCTTTTTAGTATACATTGCTGCTTCTATATAAACATTGTTTTGCTTGGTATTGGTGTTTGTTTTTTGTGCCCATAGCCCTTAAAAGCAGTATCTGGGTCTTTTTTCTCAGGACCTACATCATGTAGAAGCACAAACCCTGTCCTCCTCACAAAAAAAGTTTCAATAAATATCTGTTGGATGTATAAATGAATAATGAAAAATAAATTGTTTCCACTCTATTCTGAACCCTAGGCTAGATAAATAATATAACACCATCAGCATCCTCTGATGAAAATATGAAAAGGACACTTTCAACATAAACAAATGTATTAAAGTAACCATAGACACACTTTTTAAAAACATAGCAACTCTGACGCTCATTGTCAATGGCACCCAATTTCATTAATCAAAAGTGGGAAAAAGCTTTTACATTATTCTGCCTCAGAAACAAAATTGATTTAATACCTTTTGAAAATTTTTAAGCTATCTCAAAACCTCAGGTAAAAAAAAATCATGCATTGGTATTTTAAATGAAAGTAAGAAATAATGTCTATGTTCGAGCAAAGTGTCAAGGCTGTGATTTTCCCATAGTTTTGCATTCCTCTGAGTAAAATGCTATCTACATCTCACAACTGGTGGATGTAAAGATTGTGAAACAAAATTGGGCATAATCCATCAAACTCACACCCCATGCCAACTTTAACCACTCAGTCTCTAGAGCACAGAAACTAGGTAAAAATTTACAGGAAAATACTTAAATCGAAAGTGACTGCTATTGATGCATATCTCCTAGAGGAATTAGTTCTTTCCCCTTTGATTTAGGTCCCTATGCAGCCCTGGGCACTTGTGTTTATCTTCTCTCTCCAGCAAACCAAAGCAAAGGTGAGTGTTTTTGAGTAGCTGCTATATATAAGCACAGAATGAGGTACTTTCTCCAATCATCACAAGAACTATAAGAGACAGATGATATATATCTATTTTAAAGATGAGAACATCAAAGCTTGGAGAGGTTAAGTAACCTGAGCAAGGTCATACAATTCATAAGTAATGAGACTAGGATTTGAACCCAGTTTGACTGATTCCAAAGCTACAGCTGATACCCCAGAAGGAGAAAGGGTGGCTTAGCAGAACTAGAGGTTTTTAAAGCATCAAATTAAAAGTGAAACCTAATGTGAACTGAGAGAAAACAATTGTTTAAATATTGTTTTAGGATAAGGGACTTAAAGGGGAGAGGGAGAAGCAAGTGGGGAGAGGAGGGAGAGAAGGGAAAGAGGTAGTATAAAAGAGATGGAGTGAGAACAGATTATTCATGAAATAGGTACACTGATTTCTGGCATTCTATATGAACTTTTTGTTTTGGTGGAGGAGAGGGGATAAAGGTGCTCTAAAATGCCTTTCCA